CATCTGCCCACCACCACAGTGAAAACACAAAACAGTTTCATTACCACAAGAATCTTTCATGTTGCCCTTTTACAGTCACACCCCCTCTCCTGTCCCATTTACCTCATCCCTAACCCATGAGGTTCTTTATAATTTTGTCACTTCAAGAATGTCATATAGTTATGTAACCTCTTGGGACTGGCTTTTCAGTCAGCATATTTCTCTGGAAATTGATCAGGGTGGTGGTTTTTATCAATTCTTCATTCTCTTTCATTGCTGAGTTCCTAATAATGAACCAGCCTTGCCCATGTGAAATAAATCCTACTTGGTCATGAGGTGCAAACATACCACATTCTGTTGTACCTAACTTTATTGCTCTTTGCAGATAATTGAGTTTTTAGAAGTTAAAGGGTAAGACCCTTCATGACCAAAAAGATTATGACTCACTGAAAGCTCAGATGATGGTAGCAATTTTGTGCCAGGAAAGTATTTTTAAATTATGTACATTTTTAAGATATAATGCAACTGAGCACTTAATTTACTGCAGTTTGGTATAAACATAACTTTTATATATAATCAGAAACCAAAAAATTCATGTGTTTTATTTTGATATTCACTTTATTGTCATGGTCTGGAACTGAACCCACAATATCTCCAAGTTATAACTGTATGATTCTTTTTTTAAAAATCATGTTTGGATTTAATTTGCTAATTTTTGAACATTTTTTTCACCTGTCTTCCTTTGCACTTTCTTTGTCTGCTTTGGAATCAGGGTAGTGTTGCCCTCACAAAATAAATTAAGAAATGTTTCCTCCTTTTTTATTTTCTGGGAGAGATTGTGTAAAATTGTTATTAATCCTTCCTCAAATGTTTGGTAGAATACTCTCTCAGACCCTGGCAAAGAGCATTCTGCTTCCTGCTTCTAGAAGCTTCACTATTTTATATACCCCATAGATGTGGAATCATGAAGTATTTATTTGTCCTATACTTGCCACTTGATTTTTTGGTATAACTTCTATTTTTTAGATAATATTTTGTACTTTTTCATTTGTTTCAAGAGAACTTGTAGTTGCCTTAAGCATTGTAATGATAGCTGCTTTAGTATCCCTGTCAGGTGATTCCAGTGTCATACTCATCTCACTGCTGGTGTCAGTCGATCATCTTTCCTCGTTGAGGATGTGATTCCTCGTTCTTGTTATGGTGGTTAATCTTCTATTGTATCCTGAATGTTAACTGTTAAGAGATTCTTGGTCGTATTTACAACTTTCATTTTAGCAGGAAGTCTCTTTGTTTTTAGGTATAGCCCCCAGATCCTGGCCTACTTTTCTTATTCCAATGACAATTGAATTTTCAGAGCTCTTGGGATGCTACTTAGGTCTGCTTAGCTTATTTGGTAACACCATTGCTAGCACTTTCCCCTGCTTTTTTTGCATTAGGAGCTTCTCCAAAACAGGCTGCTTTATCTCAGGATAGGGAAATGGATGCTCTAGGGTAAAAGGGAGGAAAAACTTCACAGTCTGAGCCACTGATGTGTCAGGATTCCACTTTCCTGTGCCTCCTGGCTACCAGATGTCTGTCAGGGCACACAAGTCCCTTCCTAGGCTGGGCTGTTTACAGGGAATGTCATTTCTGGTACCGCCTGGCTCCCAGTTGTCTTGCATGTAGGTGGGGATTCTCAGGTCTATGGGATTACAGAGCACTTCCCAGGACAGGTATTTCTGTGGCACAGTTTCCCTGCTGGTGCCACCTAACTGCCTGTTCTCTCAAGGTGAGGATATTGTGAATCCTATGTAAAAACAAAGCACTACTTTTCACCACTGTTAGCAGGGATCCTAATCAATCCCGCCTGCTGGTGCTGCTGGGCTCACCTGGTGTTGTCAGAAGGACTTACACCCCACCCAGGGAGGAGGGAATGTACCTGGGCTACTTTGGGAACCAAGAAACACTGGGCCACTTTTTGTGTGTGAGATGGGGGGATGTAAGAAGCACTGACACTATGTCGCTCTTCTGGTCCCAAGGTCCACTCTGCAAAGATAGAGCTTAATTCCCAACCCTTGGAGTATGGGCTGGACTTAGCAAATTACTTTTACCAAGTGACTGGGGTTAACATCAACAGGAGGAAGTCCTGTTGGCATCATGTATCCCTGGATGAGATGCAGTCAGGACATTTTACTTCTGTGGTATTCTTCCAAAGAGTCCAAAATTCAAATCTAATAGAAAACATCACAAAATCCCAAATTGAGGGGCATTCAATAAAATACCTGACCAGCTTTCTTCAAGTGTCAAGGTCATGAAAGAAAAAGAAAGACTGAAGAACTGTCACAGGTTGGCGGAGACCAAAGACATACAGTGACTAAATGCAATGTGGGGTCCTAGGCTGGATTCTAGATTAGAAAGAGGACAGTAGTGGAAAATTCGAATACAGCAAGCAGGTTCCTAGTAGTGTTGTCACAATGTTAACTTCTTGACCTTAATAAATGTATTATAATTATGTAAGATGTTAATTTTAGGAGAAAAAAGTGGTTACCATTTGCTGTTGGCACTGCACTGTAAGCAACAAACTTCATTTATATATGTTGTTATAGACCCGTTAGTTTCTCTTTTTCCCCCAATAAATAACTCAGTGAACTCAATTAGCTTGAATCATCCCAGATGTGGCCAGTGGGTGGGGATCCCTTTAAACTGGCTCCTGTGTTTTAGTGTCATGCTCTATCATGGTTTTGGGGTGATTTTTTTTTTCACTTCCTTTCTCCTTGGCATTACCAGATGTTTGGGGATCATCTCATACCTACCCTGCCCTAACGCTGAAAGCAGCCATTAATCCAAGAAGCTAGGGTTTCCACTAATGGAAAATGGTGTTAGGGACTAAGATCTGTATGCTAGATGTGCTCACTGCTCCTGGACTGTCCTTGCTTCTTGGCCTTTTCAGCAGACAGAAGTAGAAAATGAATACAAGTATACACACACACACACACACACACACACACACACACATATGCTTGAGCACATAAACATGTAGACACACGTGTGTAACTGTCAAAGGAATCTTAAATTCACACCAGTACATCCTCACAGGTTCTTCCTTGCTTGGTGCCATTCTATTTTTGGATGGCTTTCCTTCCTCAGTGAGAACACTGGCTCCCAGCCACATCATTTGTTCAATTCTATGGTGGATCCAAAATAGTTTTAGAATTGCTTCACCATACTGCTACAAGAAACAAACTCACTAAAGAGTTTAAGATTTGTTTGTAATTCTAACACACACATGTAAAATTAAACTCTGCCCAAGACGGAGGATATACAATAAAATACTATGTTCATTATTTTCTCTTCTTTCTTAAACAAAAGCTGACAAACTATATATGCTTATGGCACTTGGCTCTTTTCATTTAGGAACATTTCCTCCATATTGTCTCACTAGTATCTTCATTTTTCTCAGTTGCATTTTACTCCACTGTGTGTATGCTCCAGTTTATACAATTATATGCTTAAACATTCAAACAATATTCAACATTTTGGAACTATAAATAATGCTATGAAAAATAACCATGTGCATGTGTATAGTGATAAAATTGCAAGTGACCCTTCAGGATAGATTCTTGGAAGTGTGCTTGCTGTGTCAATAGTTACATGTATACAGTTTACATATTGCCAAATTGCCCTCTGAAAGGCTTTACCTTTCTGCATTCCCAGCAACAATGTATGAAAATGCCTGTTTCCTCACAGCCTCACTGATACAGAGTACTGCCAAGCTTTTGAATTTTTGCCAAGCTGATGAGTGAGAAATGGTATCTCAGTGAAGTTGTAATTTGTCTTTCTCTTATCATGAGTGAAGTTGAACATCTTTTCATTTGTTTATACCTCTTTTGGTAAACTGAGCATGTTTCTTGCCCAATTTTCCAGAACTTCTGGTCTTTCCCCCTTGATTTTTAAAAGTGCCTACAAAGTGGGGATATTAACCCTTTATCTGTGCAATATGTTGACTTATGTGATATATTTCTCTTCCAGTCATTTATATTTTGATATTACTTATGGTATTTTTTGTCATGCAAAATACTGCTTTTGTATTCAACTTTATCAGAAATCTTTTATCTCTTGATTTTAAGCCAGGAGAGCACCTGGGCCTGGGAAAAATTATCTTGTAATGACCACTCAATGCCCAAAGCAAGGGGACATGGCCAGCCCTGGGCTGGCATTTGTTAGGCTCTGAGGATTAGAGATCAAAAGAGGCAATGGTTAAAGGGGCAGTGTCTTGCCTGGATAAAAGGTGTGCACTCTAGACCCTCTAGACTGGGGAGGGTTGTGGCTGGAAGCCCTCAGTCCTGGATCACTGGCATGTAGTCACAGCTAACAGGATGGGGCCTTGGGCTGCAAGGACAAGTATTCATAGATGCCCTTCAATCTGGTGTTGGGGGAGGCTGTGTGTCTAGCTTAGGGATCTCATATATCTGTTGGAGGACTTAGGAAGGGGTAATATTGCTCCTATCCCCTTTATAGGACCAGAGCCCAGAACAAAATAGAGCGACTCTCCCATGTCTCCCAAGAGGTTGAATACCTTGAGGTTCTTGACAGAATGAAGTACACAACCAGGTGTGCATCTTTGTATCAAGCAGTTTCTTAAAATAAAAGGAAATATAATATAGAGGACTGCTGCTTAGAAAGTAAACCATAAACAGACTGTCTCATGAACATTGTTTTTCCTCCATTCCATTTCAGCAGAGCAGAACATTTCCTATCTTCACATTCATGGGTAATGGAAAGGAAAGGTCAGAAGACATTTTTATGGCAGGAGTTCATATATGGCCACATAAATTTTGGGAATCTAGAGGGCATAAATGACTAATATTTAGCAGAGATCACTGAACAAGGCGTTGAAGGTGCAGCCTGGTTTCTTGCTCCTTATAGTAAAATGTGAGAGAAGAAGGATAAACTGAAGGAACTGTTAAACAAAAAGGAAACAGAACTTGAAGATTGGAAAATTCTCAGCCTATCCATATTATAAAAAATGAGAAAGCATGTTCTGGAAAGAACATCACAATGTGGCTAGACAGTCCTTTGATAAAAAGAGATTAGTTTGGAACCATTCAGCTATCTCAGCAGAAACTCTGGCAGGTTGGACTAATGGTGATACACATGGGACAGACTGAAGGCATTCTGAAGACTAGGGAGGGCTGAGGAGAATAGATCTACTCAACGGAGAACATGTGTGGCCCATGAGTAAGAGCAGAGAATGACCCCAAAGGTAAAACAGAGATGAGCAGGTCTGCTACTCCCACAGTGGGCCCAGAGAGTAAAAGTCTGAGGAGCCAGTGTGTCTCTTGCATGGTTTCACAGTGCCTGGCACCACCAATGCCACCCAAGTGGGACCAGAGAGCCGAGGATCCAACCAAAGATTGTCCTTGAGCCTTAAACATAACAGAATCTGCCTTGCTAGGTTTTAGATTTGCTTGGGACCATCAATCCTGTCTTCAACACTTTTCGAATGGGAATGGGAATTCTAGGCCTGTCCCACCACTGTATTTTTGAACCAGATAATTTGTCTGGTTTACAGGTTCACAGCTAAAGAGGAATTCTGCCTAAGGGTGAAACACATCTCTAGTCTCACCCATGTGTTTTAGGTGAGATTCTGGACATACAGTTGATGCTGGAGTGCATTGAGTTTTGAGGCTCTTAAGATGAGCGTATTCTGTATGTGAGAAAGGACGTTCATTTGAGGGGTAGGCTAGAGGGCTGAGTGTTATGGGCTGAGTTGTTCCACAAAATTCATATGTTGAAGGGATAATCTACCATGTGACATATTTGATGACAGGGTCTTTAAAAGGTAAATGGTATAAGGTCCCTAACCCAACATGGCTGGTATCCTTACAAGAGGGAGAGACACCAGGAGAGCACACACATGGAAAAAGGGCCACATGAACACAGCAAGAATGGAGTCAATCTGCAAGCCAAGGAGAGAGGCTTTGGTAGAAACCAAACTGCTTACGTGTTGATCTTGGACTCCTGGTCTCAAAAGCTTTGAGAAAATAAGTTTCTGTTTTTCAAGGCACCAAGTCTGTGGTATTTTATTATGGCCGCCCTGGAAAAATAAAACACACTCCTAGTGTAGGAGGGAAACCATAAACCAATTCTCTTATCACTGAAAGAATGCAGTACTCTTTTCTCCACTGCATTTGAGAAAAGTGGAACATTTCCTAGTGATTTCTGCCATCTTCATGCTGATGGAGAAAGGAAAGGGAAGGTCAGGAGAAAAGCTCTTGTGGCAGGGAGTGATGGCCAGACGTGGTCCTCCTATGTCTGTGGAGGTGAGACTTCTGGCTAAAGCCACGACCACACTGCCTGCACACGTATGGCTTCTCTCCCGAGTGGGTCCGCTGGTGTCTGATGAGGGCTGACTTGAAGCCAAAGCCACGCCCACACGCCCCCCACACACATGGCTTCTCTCTTGAGTGTGTCTTCTGGTCAGAGGTGAGGTCAGGTTTCTGGCTCAGTCCCTGCTCACAGGCTCCATACACATCAGACTCCTCCCCTAAGTGTGTCCTCTGGTGTCTGGTGAGAAGTGTCTTGAAGCCAAAGGTGAGGCCACATGCAGAGCACATGTAAGGCTTTTCCCCTGTGTGTGTCGTCTGGTGTCTGATGAGGGTGACTTTCTGACTGAAGCCCTGACCACACTCAGGGCACACATAGGGGTTCTCCCCTGTGTGAGTCTCTGGTGTCCCACGAGGGAAACCTGACAAAAGCTACGCCCACACTTAGAGCACAGGTAAGGCTTTTCCCCTGTGTGTGTCCTCTGGTGTCTGATGAGGGTGACCTTCTGGCGAAAGCCATGCCCACAGTCAGCACAGACATAGGGCTTCTCCCCTGAGTGCGTGACCTGGTGAACAAGCAGCAGGGATTGCTGCCTGAAGCCACGCCCACACTCCAGGCACAAGAAGGGCCTCTCACCAGAATGTGAGCTCTGGTGTTGGAGGAGCGATGCCTTCTGGCAAAAGCCTCTCCCACACTCCTGACATACAAAGGGTCTTTCTCCAGAGTGTATCCTCTTGTGGTTAGTGAGCGAGGACCTATACCTGAAGTGTCGCCCACATTCCCTGCACACGTAGGGCTTCTCTCCTGAGTGTTTCCTATGGTGTCTGGTGAGGGAGGACTTCCAGACAAAGCCTCGCCCACACTCCCCACAACTATAAGGCTTCTCTCCTGTGTGCATCCTCTGGTGCTTGCGGAGGTCTGACCTCTGGCAGAAACCTCTGCCACATTCAGGACACACATGAGGCTTCTGGAGGCTGAAGAGGCTCAAGTTTGTGCTGCGTTGTCCTCTGTATTTTTCACACACGACTGCTCCAGATTCTGAGCATTCTGCCCCTGTCAACATTGTGTCTGCCCCCTCAGGATTCACCTTCTGGTCTGTTCCTTCACCTCTGTTGCCTTCCACCCTGTCTACCGGCTGACCCTGAAATGGGCCAAAGAATATGCTTGAAGTCCCACTTGGCTGCAGCCTCCTAAACACGGTGCCAGAGCCTTCTCTGTCTCCGTCTTCTGCTTTTCCACTCGAGCAGCTTGGAGCTTCCAGTGGGAAGTGACTTCCTACAGAAGAGCTTGGGGAAATCTCAGGGGGGTGACCACACGGCACATATTGTCTGAGGAACTGCAGACTGGAAAAGGCCACCAGGCAGGAGAGACTGGGCTGGAATTCTGTCCTTGGTTCTGCTGGAGAGAAAGTTTCTGTCACAATCACCACAGATACCTTGTGGACAGTGAGACTTACCCAGCAGTTATTCCTCAGTTGTTCACAGAAACACTTCCTTTACAAACTTGCCTTCCATCCCACAGTGACACCTTAATGTCTATCCTGCTGCAACACAAAAAACTCACAAGATGAGCCAGCTCTCAATTATCAGCCTGACAGATAGTTTCCAGAAAACATCAGAGACAGCTCCAGCCCTATAAATTGTTGTCATTAGAGTTACAGTCAAATCTTGGTTCTCGAACATCTCTAGTCTCGAACAATTCAGTTCTTGACCAAGTTGTTCACAGAAAAATGTCTTGGTTGTCAAACAAAGTTTTGTTTCTTGACCTGACAGCTGTTTCATGCTGATACCTGTATGATCAGTCACACATCTCTCAGGCAACAAACAAAGGAGAGAATGAGTGAATATGAGTCAGGTTATCACCAAACCTCTCACTGTTAACATCTCAGGAAATTGTGCTCTGAATATTTTCTTATGGGAAAAAATGATTCAGTTTTCAAACAAATTGCTTCTCAAACAGCCTTCCTGAATGAATTGAGAACCAAGGTTGCACTGTATACATGTCCCTCAATACAATTATTTCATAAGCCACAGTCATTAACCCTGATGTAAACACACATTATCCACAAATGTATGCTTTTACTAAGTTAAACTATATGACAAAACTTATTATGAATTTTTGTGGAGACTTTTCCTACAAGTAAGCATTAAAAGGAGTCATTCCACCTAGAGGCCCTGTAGGAGAGGTCAGAGATCCATGTGGTAAATGAACCGGAAGGTGTTTCCACCATCCTAAACAAGTGTTTGGAACAATACCCCTGCAATAGCTCTTGCCTAGGAGACATCAATTTGTATGCCTTCTTTTATTACACTGGTTCTATCCACCTGAAGCTTATGAAAAATACCATGACACTTAAGCAAACTGACTATCCCAGGCTTTTTCAGATCTGCCATATTCTTTCTTAATCAATCAAAATGAGATGCATTTTATGAACTATCTACAACATGGGTCAGCAAACTACAGTCCACCAGATGTCTTGTAAATAAAGGTCTACTGGACCACTGCCACACTCTCCATGTAGTGTCTGTGGGAGCTTTCACACAATGATAAAGTTGAGTAGTTGCATCAAAGAACATAAAGGCTGAAAAGCCTAAGATATTTACTATCTGGCCCTTTTAAGGAAAATCTTTCCTGAATCCTGAGCTATAGTAGTGACTCATTCCATCTGGTTTAAAAATGCTAACTTTCATTACTAACAAAATTAGCCACTATGAAATCACTTCCTAACACTTAGAAGCCCCTACATTTCTGAATTTTCAGCAAACTACTTGATAAACTTATATCTGTGCATGTGTGTATATGCAGCTATATCTAGATGCTCCTATGAAATGGGCTTGATAAATCACAACTGCTGACTCAATTGGACATCCAAATGTAACAGTGAATATCCTTTCAGCCTTGAATATAGTTCTGGCCATCAGAGGTCCCACCATGGTTGCTCTCATCAGCAAGTAGCTCACTGAAATGTCAGTGGGTTTATTCTGTTAAGCTAGGCTGTCCACATTTTCACCATCTGTGGAAGGTTGTGTACATTTCTGACCAGCAGTTTCCAATAAGAGTTTTGACAGTTGAGGTTTCAGTATTGCACAACTGTCTACTTGTCTGTGATGCAATGGGAAGAGAAAAGCAGCCATTGCCTTCTCTTTTTCTTGCTTGTATACATAATGTGTCATAAATCCTAAAGTCAGTGGTGAACCATACATCATTACAGGAGTGCCTTTCAGTGGAAAAGGAAGCACGTTTGTGTGTCTTCTGATTTAAATATGTTTGATGTTGTTCTTATGGGAACCAATTCCAACCATTCTTCTATTAAGAATATTCATCAAAATTTTTGTGCCTAGCTAGTAATTTGGCACATTTTAACTAAAAATGATTTAGAATTACAGGATGACAGAGCAATGGAGGCATGACAGATACCCTTGGCCTCTTCCTCTGAAATTTTAACAAATTAACCAACTATAATTCAACAAAGAATTTCCTACTCAATACAGAGGCACGCCTAAGAGACCCGCACACTGAAACATCTAAAGGTGGGCAAATGGGAGTAAATGGGGAGACGAGAAGGGAGGAAAGCTCAGACAGCCAGCAGATGCAGCCCCACACCTGGGAGCTCATGGTGCAGTCAGGAGAGGGGAGGAGGCCAGCAGTAGTAGGCCCTTCCTTTATCAGGCCAGGAGGAACAGAGAGCTGTGGGGAGCAGCCCAGTAGGGCAAGCAGAATGAACAGTGACTGAGACAGCAGTCACCTGACAGAGCACGGCCTGTGTGGCTGCCCACTGTTGGGTGGGGGTGTTTCTGACAAAGAAACTGAAACACAGAGCCCTGCCACCCCTTGGACTCCCAAAACTTGACTCTTGTTTGTTGCCCTTGGTGTCGGGTTGAGGAACATTTTATCTATAAACCAAGAGCTATTGCTGTGGAACTGCTGTTTCCCTCTGTTACAGATCCCTGGGTTTGGTGCTTAGGGTGGGACCCCACAGAGGTCGGGGTCGCCATTATGGTGAGGGAAAAACAAGCAGTGCTGCTGTACTGTCTTACAGAAGCCCATTGAGGTCAAATCTGGGAGATGAGAGAGGTAAAAAAATCTTGCAATTCAACACCATCTACTGGAAAATAGTAGAAAGATCCCTTCAGAGATTGCTGATATGGAAGGAACATTTATGCCTAGACAAAGGAGAGGAGCAAATACCATGAACAACCAGGGTAATGAGGATGATCAGAAAGAAAATGAAAAATCCCTAGAAAGCAAGCTGGGATACAAAGAAATATGTGATACAAATATCAGAGATTTCAAGATTGCAGTTCTGAAAATACTCAATGAGATGTGAGAAAATACAGATAGGCAATTCAGTGCACTCAGAAAACAAATCCATGAACAAAATGAGTACTTTACCAAAGAGATTGAAACTTTAAAAAAGAACCAATCAGAAATCCTGGAAATGAAGCATGCAATTAGGAGATTATAAATGAGCTACTGAGCATAGAAAACAGAGCCAACCAGATGGAGGATAGAATTAGTGATATTGAAGCTAATAATCTGGAAATTATGTAGAGGGAAGAAGGGAGAGAACTGAGCATAAAGAAAAATGAAAGAACTCTACAAGAACTATCTGACTCCATCAGAAAAAGCAATATTAGAATAGGCATTCCAAAAGAAGAAGAGAAGGAGCAGGGAACAAAGAGTCTATTCAAACAAATGGTGGATGAGAACTTCCCAAACCTATGGAAAGAACTAGATACTCAAATCCAAGAAGCAAACAGGACACCTAGTTACCTCAATTCAAAGAGGCCCTCTCCAAGGCACATTGTATTTAAACTGTCAAAAATTAATGACAAAGAAAAAATTCTCAAAGCAACCAGGGAAAAGAAAGAAGTGACCTACAAAGGAAAACCCATCAGAATTTCATCCAACTTCTCAGCAGAAACTCTACAAGCCAGAAGAGAGTGGAACCAAATATTCAAACATCTGAAAGAGAAATTACCTGCCCAGCTGGGTGTGACTCAGTAGTTGAGCATTGATCTATGATCCAGGAGATCGAGGTTCTATTCTTGGTCAGGGCACATGCCCAGGTTGTAGCCTCGATCCTCAGTAGGGGGCGTGCAGGAGGCAACCAATCATTGACTCTCTCATCACTAATGTTTCTATCTCTCTCTCCCTCTCTCTTCCTCTCTCTGAAATCAATAAAGATATATTTGTTTAAAATTACCAGCCACAAATAGTATATACAGCGAAATTATCCTTTAATATGGAGAAATAAAGACATTCCCAGACATACAGAAGCTGAGAGATTTTATCAACAGAAAACCTCCATTGCAGGAAATACTCAAGGGAGTTATTCTACTTGAAACAAAGAACATAAGGTCACAACACTATACAAGTAAGGTCACCAAAAACTTACAGCATAAACAGGGATAATTTGTGACAATAAAAACATAAAAGGGGAGGGAGTAAAGGTCTGAACCAGCAAAGGAGGATGAACATCAGATGCATTAGAAAAAACACACAAAAAACTATTGTATATATGCAACCTAATGGTAACCACACACAAAAATCCCCAAACCAGGACACAGAGCTTAAAAAAAGGGGACACAGGAAAGAAGTATGAAACACCACCAAACAAAAACAACAGACAGAAGTACAAAGGAAAAGAACCAATGGAAGCACAGAACTATCAGAAGACAAGAGATAAAATGGCTATAGGAAATCATACATCAATAATTACCCTAAATGTAAATGGTCTGAATTCACCAATAAAGAGGGACAGAGTAGCAGAGTAGATCAAAAAACAAAACCCAACCATATGCTGCCTACAAGAGACACATCTAAGCTGCAAAGACTAAGGCAGATTCAAAGTAAAAGGGTAGAGAATTATTCTCCAAGCAGATAACATCCACTGAAAAGCAGGTGTAGCCATACTTATATACGACAAAATAGATTTCAAGGCAACAAAGAGACAAAGATGGACACTTTATAATGATAAAGGGGACACTACATCAAGAAAACAACATTTTTTAATATATATGCACCCAACCAGTGATCACCGAAATAAATAAAGCAACTACTCACAGAATTAAAGGGAGAAACAGACCAAAACACAATCATAGTTGGGGACCTTAATACTCCATTGACAGCTCTAGACAGATTAACCAAAGAGAAAATCAATAAAGAAATATCGGCCTTCAATGACATGCTAGACCAAATGGACATAATTGACATTTACAGAACTTCCCATCGCAGAACATCAGATTATGCATTCTTCTCCAGCACACTTGGAACCTTCTCAAGGATAGACCATATTTTGGGTCACAGAACTAGCATCAAAAAATTCAAGAAGACTAAGATTATACCAAGCATATTCTCTGACCATGGTGCCTTGAAATTAGAAATCAACTCTA